GTCCTGGGATCGAGGCCCACATCAGGCTCTCTGCTCAGCAGGGAGCCTGCTTCCTCCTCTCTCTCTGCCTGCCTCTCTGCCTACTTGTGATCTCTCTCTCTCTGTTGAATAAATAAATAAAATCTTTAAAATTAAAAAAAAAAAATTCTAACTTGCCAGAAAAAAGATAATAGTGATGCTTGCCTTCATTATCCACTGAAGAATGTACATTTTCTTCTCAAAAGCCCAAGTCTAGACCAGGACAGTCCCATCTGATCTGCCGTAAGGTGGAGCGCAACCTCTGTGCCCAGCCAGCCAGAGCACTGCCTGCAAGTCCTCTGTTGGCAGGGTACTCTTTGCTAAACACCATCTTTTACCTTTCCCCTAGATCAGCCTGAAAATATCCTGGAGGACAAAATGTGAGTCCCTGATTCAAAGAATCAGGCATCAGGAAGGCCTGAGGTTCCCAGCGGCTGTGAGAAGGCTGAGAAAGTGCAGATGTCACAAAGCAGGGGAGGCTGGTTTCCTCAGCTCCTGTGGCCAAAGACAGAGCTTGGCAGGAGCCTCAGGGAGGAGCTCCGCGACAGCTTCATGCAGCTGCTCCCAGGAGGTGAGAAGCAGAGGAGGATGGGGCATCTGTAGCCACAGTGTTGTGTGTTATATGACTTCAGTGTACCCGGAGTTGCGGAGAGAAGCCTTCTTCCTATTTATTCACACAGCACAGTGTGGCTCTGGGGTAGCAGTGAGGGGGCGCTCCAGCCCAGAGCACAGACAGAGCTGAGACTGTGGCTAGTTCTACCATGAGGCTGGTGTGTCCTGGAGAAGCTCAGTGCGCCTCTGTGCAGATCAGCGGGTGAGCCGGTGGCAGGGTTTGGACAGCTGAGCCAGTGGTCCTGTGGGCCTGGTCCCCTGTCAGCACAAGGCCTGGCCTGGCTGGTGTCCTCTGTGACCAGGGACAGAGAAGATAGACTCTCTAGTGCACCATAGTGACATGAGGAGAGTGGTGGTCTCTCCAGTGGTCCTGTGGGCCTGGTCTCCTGTCAGCACAAGGCCTGGCCTGGCTGGTGTCCTCTGTGACCAGGAACAGACAAGATAGACTCTCTAGTGCACCATAGTGACATGAGGAGATTTTTCTCTGCCTTCTATTTACAAAGACAGAACTTCTGGTCAATATTCCTGGGGAACCATTCACTAAAGACTGGAAATGAGAAGTGAAACTGAGAGAGACATCCTTCCCAAGGCTTGTTCTGCCATCTTGATACTCAAACCCGGTCTCCATAGTGAAACAGCCCTGACTCCCTCCTCACATTTTACCAAGTACTCTGGGCAAGAAGCCAGTGGTGACAGTGGCTGGGGACGAAGACTGGAATGCCCACACAGCTTTGCTTTAAGTGTCCTCTGGCCCGAAGGTTGGTTTCCTTCCAGAGAACTGTTGGCTGCGGCAGAGGGCTCAGTTCGTCTTCTCCAGGGGAGCTGCTGGGTTTCCCACAAAGTCCCTGGAGCCAGGATGGGCTGAGGCCAAGGCAGAGAGGGATATAGATCCTTCAGCTTCTGACATCCTTCCTCACAGTCACTTGGGCTCCTAACCATCACACCAGTCATGAAACAGGTGTAAGCCCCAAGTCCGATCAAGGATTAGAGGTATTCTCCCCAACCAACACCCCCACAAACCCACACACAGTAAGAGCCTTGCATGGCTGCAACCAGGCACGCCTCAGGGGGAATGTGACACAATGACAGAATTTTCTCTCTGCCTGCAGATGTCAGCCACTAGCATCTTCGTTGCCTAAAAGCCCAATGTGGTCAAGTGAAAAGTGAGAATTCATCACCAAAGTTAAAGCGATCTTTGACTACACTGACTAGACAAGACTGTGACTATGCTAGGCAGGGGGCAGGTCTGAGGCCCCACGTATTTGACAAGGGAACTGGACAAACTAGACTATGTTCAGAGAGAATGACGAGGCTGAAGGACACACTGACACTGGACCATAAGGAGTAGTTGAAGGAGCCAGGGACACTTAGCCCCGAAAGGAGAAGTGTTAGCTAGTATGATGACCTTTCTTCAGAGGTTTGATGGACTTCTGTGTAGGAAGGGAAACTAGGTAATGACAATAACTAACATTAACTGAGTACTTACTATGTGCCAAGTACCACACTAACTGTTTTCCATACATTTTCTCATTGAAACTAGCCATCGATCCCATGACAAAAGTGCTATTATCAGACCCATTCCATGGAGGAGGAAGTTAAGAAAAGTAGAGTGACTTGCCCAAGGCCATCTCCTAAACGGAGTCAGAAGATGAACCTCGCAGTCTGACTCCTGTGCCTGGTGCTGAACCACCTTCCAGAACATGTTCTGTGGGCAGCCCTCAGCAGAACAGGGAACCATGGTTGGAAGTTAACGGGAGGCAGATCTGAAGGCAATACGACAAAGAATTTGTAAACCGGAGGTGCTCAAAAAGAACGCTGGGCAGGTACTCTGGGTGGTAATGAGCCACACACCACCAGAGAGATGAAAGCAGAGTCTGCAAGAGGTAGACACAACAGTTCGCAAGGAGCAACTCGGCGAATGCCGCACCAAGGAGCTTGTGAGGGACACAAACACATGGTTGGACCCCACTGCAAACCTACGGAATCAGACACTCCGTGGCAGGGCCCAACCATCTGCATTTTAACCCTTGTCTAGTGGCTTTAATGCACACTCAAGTCTGAGAACCACTGGCATAGAAGTTTCTGCACCCTGCCAGCGACTGGACTAGACCTCACCATTCTCCAGAAGCAAGAGATTATTTAACATCCAACCAGATCTTCTTTTAATGTTGAGCACTTCCTAGTAATACCCAGAACACAACGTATCAGTTACTAGGTTGTACAACTGGCCTCAGGTACCTCAGACATCCTAAGGCTGACAGGATAAATATTTGGGAGGCTATGGGCCGGAGGCTGCCCCAAGCCCCCCAAGGGGACACAGCAGACACACTGGTCACTTCAGTGGCTTCATTGGTTTCCAACAAGCCCGTCAGGTTATCCCTATACCATGTTTGTTCATATTGTCCACACACCTGAAAAATGCTTACCCCTGCCTTTTGAAATTCCACCTCCTTTTAGGGTTTAATTCAAATGTCACTTTGTCCACTGAAGTAAGTGCCCCACACTGTCCGTCACGGGGACAGTCTCCATTTCCTCTCTCATTCCTTCTCTTCTTCTGGGCTTCCTCTCACTTGTGTGGTGCTTACAGCACCGGGCACATTCTGCCTTGGCCAGCACCTTGTCCCTCACCACCAAGCGTACTCTCTTTGAGAACAGGCCAGCTGGTGCTCTGTCATGTCAACCCTGCAGGGCCCAAGACACAATGACCTTCAGTGAGGAGGGAGCAGAAGCAGCATCTTGAGGAAATCATGTACGCAGGTGTTGCACGATGGGCAGATGCACCCTTACTGGAAGGAAGTCCTCTGCCATTCGCTTTCAAGCCTGAGGTCTTTGCAGAATTTTGAGGGTTCTGCAACAACCAGTGTGAGCACACGTGTGTCTGCTGGTGCTCAAGGGGCCCCAAAGTTGCAGCTCCACAGTTTTGTTATCTTTGACTTTTTTTCATTGTTGCATAGCTTCCAGCTGATGACAAAGACTGAAGGGTGTCATGGCCAAACTTCTGGGTGTCCCACAGAGATAAGCACAAGCAAGTCTCCATTTCAAGGAACAGAGAAGTCATAAATTTGGCCTCTGTTGTAGGGACTGGGATAGAAAATACTAGACCCCATTCAGCAGTTCATGTCTGTAGGGCCTGGTGTCCTATGGCTGTCGTGGACTGGTCCTGGGCCCAGGATGATGGTGAGAGACCTGCAGATGAGAGGAGAGACTCCCCTCCCCCACCCCCCAGCAATCCCAGCAACCTCCCACCCCACAGCTGGTTTCCATCCCCCAGGAATCCACACATTCTGTTGTGAAAGCTGAGCAGTTTAACAGAATAAGGAGATGGAGCTGATGCCTGTCTCACCTGATAACATGACAATGGCTTTGGTGGGTCCCAGGAAAGGACCACAAACCCCAGAGCACTCTTCAGGTCTAAGGACTACAGAGTACTACAAACCAGGAAATCCCTGTCCACACATGGGTGAGTGACTCTAGATTTGTCATGAAAAATTTCCCTGACCCCTCTTCTTCTGACACTCCTTGGGCTCCTGGGTAGCTTGGCATTTGTCAACAATCACGTCGGTTATTTGTTTCAGAACCATTGGGCTTCTCATTGTGCTGGGTCCTCTCTGGCATGGAGCCTGGCCTAGCCTTGCAGAAGTTAGAACCCAAAACTTCTCACTTGCAGACCAATGCTCTTTCCATCAAGGTGCGTGACACTAGAATTCAGGGATAATCCCAGCAATCTTCCAGTGACCTCCCTTGGACAGCAGTGACCAAAGAGGAACAGATCAAAACAGAATGGAAATGGGTTGAAGGGGTCATAGATGGGGAAACAAGGTCAGCCATTCACCCACTCATCATCCCCCCCACCCCATGCAGGACCGTTTGGGCTGTCCCCCTCTCCATCTCCCACGCCGCCCTCAGGTTCCCTCACTGTGCCACCCTCTTCCCCCTTCAGCCTGGATCTTCTCTCTCCTCTGTCCTGTCCTTAAGCAAAGCCTTCTCTCAGGAAAAGACTTGATACCCTTCTTTATACTTGAGAGCACATGCTCAGTCATTCTATCATCAGTCTTATCTTCATTATGAATTATCAGTGAAAAATCTTTGTCCCCCAAGGTGAAGAAAACAATTTCAAAGAGTGCTTTTTCTCAGCCCCCTCAGCAGATAGTCTGTCTCTAACACAAAAAGGAAGAGGAAAAGCGGCAGAGGATGAGGTGGAAAAGAAAAAGTTCACAGTGGGGGTGGAGGAGAGAGAGGCAGGAAGACCCCTGATTGCTACAAAAACCCATGCTGTGGTTTTCAAAGACATATATACAAGTCATGAAGGTGTGAGCAATGACGGAAGTGGGAGACGACCAAAGAACAAGGCAGGGGCTGAGAGCTCAAAGTGTCTTCACCAGAGCCCCCAGGCTGAGAGCAAGAAAGAAGAACTTCTGTCCCAAGGTAATGAGGCCCACTGGGGAACTGGGGTCTGGGAGTGGGAATGGCACTGTTGACAGAACTGCTCAGGTAAGGACAGGCTTCCAGTGAGGTCCTTGAGAACCCCTAATTTTTGCAATGCTCTTTACCCTTAGGACGCTAGAAAGAGAAGTGTTACTGTGCCAGCTGGGGCGCCATGCTTGCTCTTCCCGAGTCGGCTTCCAGGGATCCAGGCCCCATTCTGACACTTGCCTCAAACGTGAAAGAACTGTACTGCATGTTCATGGGAGGGAAATCCAGGCAAGCTCCTGAAGTAACAAACCTGACCAAGCACGAATCTCTTATGCTGTCCTAAATCCTACAGGCCGCTTTGTTTTGGTCAGTGTTCATTGGGGATGAATGACAAAAGGTCATTTTTATCAATAAAAAGGACATGGTCACTAGAGGAAAGTTCTCAAGACTTGGATCCACTGTCCTCCGGATCCCTCAAAGCCTGGCCTAGGACAAGCCACTGGGCTCCATGGAGCTTCAGACTGGTCCTGTGAGGCACCCCAAGGGAAGTTTATATCCCAGATGTATGCTCTGGGAGGGGGAATGCCAACAAGAGAGGCTTCAGGCCAACTGGCATGTTTTGGCAGAGTAAACTTGTGAATTCCAGAGTGAAAATAATGATTTGGAAATAGTTTTCCGCGGGACGCCAGGGTGGTGCAGTCAATTGACTGTCTGACTCTTGGTTTCAGCTCAGGTTGTGATCTTGGGGTCATGGGATTGACCCACGTAGGCTCCATGCTCATCGCAGAGTCTGCTTAAGATTCTCTCCCTCCTCCCTCCTCTCTCCTCCCCTCTCTCTCTCTGTAAAATGAATGGGTAAATCCAAAAAAAGAAAAAGAACAAGTAGTTTTCCTTGGGGCACCTGTTGTAGCTCAGTCTGTTAAGCAACCTGACTCTTGACCTCAGCTCAATTCATGACCTCAGGGTCATGAATTAAGGCCCATATAAAAAAAGAAAGAAAGAGAGTCAGGAAGAAAGAAAGAAAGAAAGAAAGAAAGAAAGAAAGAAAGAAAGAAAGAAAGAAAGAAAGAAAGAAAGAAAGGAGTGAGTGGGAGGGAGGGGGGAGGGAGGGTGGGAGGGAAGGAGGGAAGGAAGGAAGGAAGGAAGGAAGGAAGGAAGAAAGAAAGAAAGAAAGAAAGAAAGAAAGAAAGAAAGAAAGGGTTTTCCTCTAAGTTCCAGAGCTATGCACTTTAGTGGAAGACTTTTCATCTAGAAATCAGGAGAGCTGGTTGCCTCTGTTTCCCTAATCACAAAACAAGGAGCCTGCTCTGTAGGAGTTCTTAACTGAGGGTCCATTCATGAGATTCATAAACCCGAGAGAAACATTATATCTTTATTTCCACCAGTTTCTAGCTGAAAGTTAGCATTTGTTTCAATTATGAATGTAGGCAACCAACCACAATAGAATTTGCCATCAATAGAAATCAGAAACATTTCCAAATCTCATTACAGTTGTTACAGATTTCTCAAAATGTCACATAGATTCATCACTACTATGAGATTATGATGCTTTACTGATGCTAGATCTTAGGAAACACGCTACACTATCCCATGTTCCAATGTTTAGACAACTATTTTGATATAATTTGTTTCCTTTGTTATCCTTTATCTTTTGTTTTATTAATTTGTGAATTATTCTGAGAAGGGGACCCACAGGCTTCATCAGACAACCAAAGGTGTCTGTGGTCTATTTATGTTATGGTTGAGAAGCCCAACTCCGTGTGTCAAGTCAGGTCAGGGCCTCAAGCCTGAGAAAGCAGACAAGCGCTCCAAGGGCCTTCTGAGACTGACTTCAGTTTACTTACTAATCTGTTTCTATTTTAAGGAAGTTGGGTGTGTGGTGGTTGATGAAATCCCATCTCTGGGTCTGGGGCATCTTTTTCAGCTTGGTGGGAGATCTGCAAATGGCAATCTGCAAATAAATATTTGTGAAGCTGTTTGCTAACCTTCCACCTCCTCTGAGAGGTTAGATCAGGACTTTGGTAGCAAAAAGAAGAGCCTCTTCCTTCCAGTCTTTACCCACCAGCAGTAGGTCCACACTCCGCAGAAAATGTCGGGCACAGACCCACGTGTCATTTAATTATAGCAACATTCACAGGAGAGAGCTTTAAACACAGGAGGAGTGTAAGGCTGAGCAAGGTTGGTAACATGCCCCAGATCACATGAAGCTTGGATTTGAGTCTGGGACTCCAGGTGCTTCCTGCTTTCTAAGGTCAGGGAGAAGGAGGGTGTTTACCTCCAGAAGCACATCCTCAGAGTCCATAGGTCCTGGGCACCCAGCATAGTTCAGGGGCCGCGGGGAAGGCTGAAAGGTGACAATACCAACCTAACCTGGACCCTCATCGTTGCCGACTCCAGGGCTCGCCACGTCTTATGAGGAAGAGGAGACCTGCATCTAGCCTGTGGACCCAGAAAGTCCCCACCTTTCGCTCCCCAACACCTCTTCCCGCTTTGGAGGGGTCTAGTACAGGCTGTGTCCTCAGGACCCACCAGACCGGATCTTGCACCGCCCACACCTCCAGCACTGGCTCAGGTTTTCCCCTGCTAGCCTGCACACCCTACCCCCGCGCCATCTCCGGCTTCAACTAGAAGGCAGCGCCCTCTAGTGGTCATAACGCAGAAGCAACGGTGCCTGCTCCACCTGGCCCTGCCTGCATCACACCGGGGTGCTCCCCCTCCAGGCACCAAGGTCACCTACTCCAAGAGCATCTTTTCCCCATGGCCCCCACCTGCCCAGGCCCCCTGAACAGCCCACGATAAACTTACACGCTCTGCTCCAGCTCGGCCCTAGGCACCACGAAGCGCGGCCACTCCTGCATCAGCCCCTGTGAGCCTGCCCGCCACTCTGCCGCTCTCTTCTTGGAAGCGGTCCCTACCACGCCCCTCCCATCTCGCTGCACCAGTCCCTCAGGAAACATGCCTAGAGAGGGGACGTGACCTTCTCAGCATCTCGCAGCTAGCTAATGCACAGCCAGGACTGGAAGCCCAATCTCCCCAGACCGTTCCCTGCCTTACCTCACCACCAGATCCCCAGTCAGCAAACATCTGTCAAGGCCCAACTGCATTCCGGTCTTGCAGCCTTTCCAGACCTCTCATTCCGAATTTCTCCTTTTCTATTCCTTGATATACTTTATGACCTTATTATTGTTATCACAGCCTTCCTTGGATTGCAGCCGTTCCTGAATGGCTAGTTAGATGTGAGAAGAGGGACAAAGGACATGAAATACCCGCATAACTTGGGAGTTAGAATCCTAGCTCCTTCACTTAGAAGCTGTGATTTTTAAGCTCCTCACAACGCCTCTGTAAGCTTCCATACGCTTGGTAAAAGTGACACATTTTTAAATAACTAGAAAAGCCGTGCTTTATAAGAACTAAACACAATTGTGGATGTGGAGGTGTTTGGGACACTGTAAATTGCTGCAAATATGAGGAAGCATAAAAATAAACATGGCTAACATTTACTGAGTCTTTACTCTATGCCAGCCACTACCCTGGCATTAAACCATGTAAGTAATTTACATGGGTTGCCTCCTTTAACCCACAGAACAACCCTGGAAAGAGAATATGATCATTTTACAGCTCAGTACGCTGCTTTTCAGAGAGGTTAAGAAACTTGCCAAAGCCAGAGTACAGATGGGTCCTTCTGACTAGAGGCTGCATAGAACCACTGAGAGAGTCAGCCTCTGTTTTAGTTGTCTCTCTGGGCTCTGTGGTGCCTAACACATCATAGTTGTTCAGTGTTTGTCAAATATATCCATTTATTAAGGGCTGAGGATGGTTCCTATCCCAGGAGCCTAAGTATAAGTGTTTCCTTAGATCTAGCATCAGTAAGTGTTGGGACACAAGCCGTCTGGTTCCAGAGTCTATGCTTTAAACCACAAACTTAGGCTAAATGAATAACTGCAATTCTTCTTCATCTTCCTTTTTCGAGTTTTTTAATTTAAATTCAATTAATTAACATATAATGTATAATCATTTTCAGAGGTGGTGTTCAGTGTTTCATCAGTCTTATATAACACCCAGTGCTCATTACATCACGTACCCTCCTTAATGCCCAGCACCCAGTTTCCCCATCCCCCCACTCACCTTCCCTCCAGCACCCCTGTTTGTTTCCTATGATTAAGAGTCTCTGATGGTTTGTCTCCCTCTCTGATTTCATCTTGTTTTATTTTTCCTTACCTTCCCCTATGTTCCTCTGTTTTGTTTCTTGAATTCCACCTATGAGTGAGATCATATGATAGTTGTCTTTCTCTGACAGACTACTTTCGCTTAGCATAATACCCTCCAGTTCCTTCCATGTCCTTGCAAATGGCAAAATTTCATTTCTTTATCTTCCTTTTCAAATCAGATAATACTTTGTGGCTAGACACAAAGCATGTCATTCAATGTTTTGTTTCAAGAGTCAGCAGGACATTCTGGTGGAGACATGGAAGAGCGTGAAAGTAAGACAACACACAGGAGAAGGAACACACGGTCAAGGCTAGGGCAGCAGCCCTGGGGGCCAGGCCATTGGGAGTTTTCATTAGGATTGTAACAAACTTAGAGGCACCTGAGTGGCTCAGTTGGTTAAGCATCTGCCTTTGGCTCAGGTCATGATCCCAGGGTTCTGGGATCGAGCCCCACATCGGGCTCTGTCCTCCATGGGGAGTCTGTTTCCTCCTCTCTTTCTGTCTGCCTCTCTACCTACTACTTGTGATCTCTGTCAAATAAATAAATAAAATCTTTTTTAAAAATAAAAAAATAAAAAGTAGTAGTACATTCATAAGGTAAAATACATTAAGTGGAAGAGTGTTACATGAGGAAAAAAAAGCCTCCTTACATTTATGTGCCTCCCAACCCACAGGAACTGCCCTTCCCCGCTTAAAGTTCACCTCTTTTAATATTTTCCACTTAACTTTTGGATACAAAGATCAGAATGGTGGTTGTCGGAGAAGAGGAGACTGAGCGGTGGGTGAAAGGGGTGAAGAGGGTCTGGAGGTACAGACCTCCAGCTGTGAAATGAACAGGTCATGGGGATATGGTGTGCAGCATGGGGACTACAGTGAATGGTATTGTAGTGCACACTTGAAGGTGGCCAGCAAAGTGAATCTTGAAAGTTCTCATCAAAAGAAAAACATTTTTTGGTAAATTTTTATGGTGATGGATGGTGACTAGACTTCCTGTGGTGATCGTTTCATAGTGTATAACTATTGTCAAATCATTACTTGTAACTCATATCATGTATGTCAATTATACCTCTATAAAAAGATTAGAAATAATCAAAATCTTCACTGGTAGGAATCTATGAGAATAAATTCACATAATTATGAACATTGTGCAACAACTTTTTTTTAAAGATTTTATTTATTTATTTATTTATTTATTTGTCAGAGAGAGAGAGACAGAGAACACAAGCAGGCAGAGTGGCAGGCATAGGCAGAGAGAGAAGCAGGCTCCCCACTGAGCAAGGAGCCCGATGCGGGACTCCATCCCAGGACCTTGGGATCACGACCCGAGCCAAAGGCAGCGGCTTAACCGACTGAGCCACCCAGGCGTCCCTGTGCAACAATTTTTAAGGAGGGAAAGCTGTTTATGTACTGATAAGGAATGTCTCCACAGGACACACTGGTAAGTGAAAAAAGCAAAATATAGAACAGAGGATACGGTACGCTATCATTCATTGTTGTTATTGAATTTTTTTTAAAAAATATGCATAGAATATCTCTAGAAGTATCTTAAATTATCTAAAGTATCTAAAATCATTCATTGTTGTTATTATTTTTTTTTTTTTACAATATATGCATAGAATATCTCTAGAAGTATCCACAATAAGGCAACATCGGTTGACTCTGGGAAGGGGCAATAGATCACTGTGGGTGGGATTAGGAAGGAAACTTTTAACTACACAGCTCTACCCTTTGAACTCTGTGAATGAAATTATCTATCCAAAAAGATATAAACTATTAAAGTGTTTAAATATATTTTTAAAACACTTATATAAAGAGAGGGGATTTTAAAAAATAAGAATATTTATTTTATATGCATAGCCCTGCAATTTGCCTTTTTTGACATAATGGTATATTATTGATTCCCCCCTCAAGCTCATATTTAAAGAACTCATTCTTTTTAATAATATATAACTTTCTACTGTATGAATGATTCAAAATTTATTCAAGGATTTCCAACTGATGAAAACCCAGGTTTTATCTTGCTTTTGCTTTGGGTTCAGTTTGGGTTTTTTGAGATGAGAACATTTTTTCTTAGCTAGGATTAGAAGACATAAACATAAAAAAAAGAACATATAAACATAAAAGGCAAGACAATAAAATATTGGGAAAAAGTATAACTCCAACCTGAGGGAAACTTTCTTAAACAATACAGAGAACTACAGATCACTTAAAAGAAAAGATAGATAGATGCACTATATTTAACTACATGCAAATGTGAATTTTCCTGATGGAAAAAAACATTTTTTCAAGAGACAATGAATTGGGAGAAAATATTTGTTAAAAAAAAAAAAGTTAGGGTAATATCTCTAATATAGAGAAAAGCTGATTTTTTAAAAAGTTGATTTGGGGGGGCGCCTGGGTGGCTCAGTGGGTTGAGCCTCTGCCTTCGGCTCAGGTCATGGTCTCGGGGTCCTGGGATCGAGCCCCGCATCGGGCTCTCTGCTCAGCAGGGATCCTGCTTCCTCCCCCTTCTCTCTCTGCCTGCCTCTCTACTTGTGATCTCCCTCTCTCTGTCAAATAAATAAATAAAAAATCTTTTAAAAAAAATTGGGTTCCTAGTCTTTGACCTAGTAATGCAACTTAATTTAGAAAAAAAAATTCTGAAAATAGAGCCTTTAGTGTCTCTGTCTCTTCCCTCTTTTCTCCTCTCTTCTCTCCAGTGAACCTCACTTGATTAACTTTCTCGCTTTCCAGCCAGCTGGACTCTCATGCCCAAGCCTTCCACCACCAGACTCTAGCCAACTTAAGCTAGTGCCTGGAACATGGAGATGGTCCTGGAGTCCTGGGAGGAGTCCTCATGTGCTTTCAGGAAAGTAAGGCAAGGACATCATTGGAGCCAACATTTCCTTTTCAGGGAAGTGAGGCAAGGACATCATTGGAGCCAACATTTGCTTCAAGTTCCTGTGGCTGCTGACACTGTGCAAGACACTGATGGCACCTGGCAGAGGATGCTTCGCCCTGGCCATTCTGCTGGCAATTGTGGACACCCAGCTTGGTGGTGAGGACAGTCCCTCCTCAGATCCCCAGAGCAGAGATAGCCATCAGGGAAAATCCTGGACTCAGGAGGAGGGATGGATCCCAAGGGTTTTTTTCTGGTAGGGAAGAAAAGGACCTACTCCCTCTTGACATTAATGGAAGGGTGAAAAATATAGTTTTTCTTTTTCTGTTAAAACTAATACTATTGCCCTCCCCATCAGACATTCTGCCTCTGTTATGTGTTGCCAAGAGCCTGGTAATCTGGCCCTCAATCTAAGATACTTTCAGGATCTTATACATTCTAAATTTATGAAATCCAGGTTTGAGATCCAGATACTACAATGTGTGTCAACTTGGGGCGCCTGGGTGGCTCAGTTGGTTAAGCATCCACCTCTTGATTCAGCGCAGGTCATGATCTCAGGGTCATGAGATCAAGCCCTGCTTTGGGCTCTGTGCTGGACATGGAGCCTGCTTAGGATTCTCTCTCCCCTTCTCCTTCTGCCTCTCCTCTCTCTGAAATATATAAGTCAGCATTAGCAACCCACTAAACCACTGTGTAGTTCAGTTAATAAAATGGGAACATCAGTATGTGGTTCTAGGGCTATACCGAGGATTAGATGTATATAAATGCACTTTAATAAAGGTCCTATACAAGTTCCATTTGGAGTAGAAATAAAATCTAAACCATTTCTGAATTAACAAATAACTGGGATTACAGGTCTCCCTCAGATACAGGTATAGCCCGTAAACTACTCTTCTAAGAGGTGGTATTTAATGTAGGCTGGGCAGCCGCCTCCTCTGCCTCAACATTTCTGGGTGAGTGCACTTAGTCTATGTGAGTGAACTTCCCCTGGCTAACTCTTCTCCCTTCCCATTCCAGAGGGCATGCAGATCCAAAGCTCATTTCACAAGGAAGGAAAACAACTACACTTGATCTGTACTTTGCAGTATAAGAAAGAAGAGGCTGAGGGGGTTATAGTGTTTTTGTGCAAGAACAGATCTTCTGACTGTTTCCCCGAGACCAGCTTGCAGCAACGGAGACTTAAACGGAATCCTGGGAGAGATGGTGTCAGTGAAATACCATCTCATTTGGTGTTCACCATAAACCAAGTCACACCATCAGACAGCGGGACCTACCAGTGTTGTGCCATAAGCCGGAAGCCAGACATCCGCCTTCAGGGTCACTTTTTCTCTATTTTAGTCACAGGTGAGCTCTGACATCCCACATGCCACCAGATGAGATAATAAGCAGGGTTGGCAGCTGGAGACAGAAATAGTTACTTCAGGTCCTGGACAGGCGGTCTCTCCTTGGGGCAAGAGTCCTTCCCATGACTCAGTCATTTCCCACCAGTCCCACTGTAGTGGCAAATGCTCACAGCATGAATACAAAAGTGATCTCGTTTTGTCTTTTATTTTAAAAATCTTATTGAGATAAATAATTTCATTTTTATTGACACTGAGACTGGGTTACGTGGAGGTAAAGCAATTTGTTCAATTTGTCTTGCTGACCAGTGCCAGTAAAGCAGATAGAGGTCTGAAATTTAGGCTTTCTTGATTCTAATTGAGATCTCTCAGAAATGTGGTCCTAGTTCTAAATACAGACACTTGAGCCTTCACGCTGTGACAGAGATGAATTTGAGATAAAATGGATGGTTGTCTTAATAAACATTTAGTTATAAAGAAACAGAAATCTGCTCAAGTTGCCATGGGTTAAAAGGAACAAATAATAAAGCAGGAATAAAGGAATAAAGCCCTCATGAGATCCAGGCTCTGAAACCAGAAAGCCAACAGAACCTAAACAATGAGTCTCAATCTCTCTGGGGCAGCAAGGTCTCTCATCTCTGCATATTTCCTTTTTTGTGCATACTCCTCTACTCTGTTACTACTTAGACAAAACCCAAATACGGTCACCTCCAGACTCAGCTTTATATGTGACTTCATCATATGGCCAGTAGAGAGTGACTCTTGTTTCTATATTCCCAAAGGAACCTTCAAAACTAAGGATTATGTTCTAATTGGAATTCTATACCCAAACAAATTGTAGTCAAATATGGGGAAAGAATAAAGACAGGCAATGACTCAAAAAAAAAGATTGCCTCCCATGTGATCTTAAGAAGCCACCAGAGGTGTACTTCAGAAAAACAGGAAGTGAACAGGTAGAGTGGATAAAATGGGATCCAGGAAAGTAAGGAATCTAATAGGAGAAAGGAGATAAGAAAATTCTAAAATGAAAAATGGCCAAAACAATTAGTCCAAAAGGAAAAAGAGAAAGAGGACTCTGGAAGATCTTGAGGAGGTGAAAACAGAATTGATAGATCATCTTTCTGAAGGCCTGTGACAGATTGGATAAAGGATTAAAGATATGGATATGGAAAATTCTGCCTGGTTAAAAAAAAAATAAGGTAATCATCATCTCCAGGGAAAACACTAAATTTTACAAAAGGAAACCTATCACAGCACACAACTTGGTTCTGTAATAATGTAACATTTACAGAATCCAAATTACGTAACATTCATTTAACTACAATGTGTAATATAATGATTTATGAAAGATGCAGAGAAGGGAAGTGGATAGCAGCTTAAGAGAAACATGTCCTCATCTTCTTTAACAGAAAATCAATAGATAATGCCCAAATTTTATCATCAAGAAGTGGTAACATAAGCATACTATTTAGGAATACAGTGAAACATCTCAGAGCTGACAGTGGTTGTCTCGGGGGAATAGGCCTAGGAGGAAAAAAGGACACTGCTATCATTCTTTATGAACTTTCAAATACTGTATTTTAACTTTAAGAAAAATAGAAAACAGGGGCACCTGGGTGGCTCAGTGGGTTAAAGGCTCAGGTCATGATCCCAGGGTCCTGGGATTGAGCCCCATATCGGTCTCTCTGCTCTGTGGGGAGCCTACTTCCTCCTCTCTCTGCTTGCCTCTCTGCCTGCTTGTGATCTCTGTCAAATAAATAAATAAATAAATAAATAAATAAATAAATAAATAAATAAATAAAATTACACCCCCTCCCAAATAAAAACCTAGCCCAGAGTCTTTTTAACAAATATTTTAATCATTTCCTATGGTTAGCAGTTAATCCACATTTTCTACGTTGTTCTGGATTGATTTATATTTTCTTCCTTGCTTCCTGGTGTCTTCCCCTCTGACCTCACTACAGCATCCAACACTTCACATTCTCTCCCTTAACAAACGCCCATCTCTATTGGCTTCTACGACTCTACTTCCCTGGTTTTCCCGCCTTTCTGGGGGTTCTTTTGCTCCTTCGCTGCCATTTCCCCCTCCCACCTCTCAAACATGAGAATTCATTCGCCAAGACTCATTCCTCACCTCTCTGATCATTCCCCTACTGTTTCTCCCAAGTTCTCATTCACCCTCATGACTTTAACCTGCCCCTTCTTGCAAAATGATCCACAAGTCAACTCCACCAGCTCTAATCTCTTCCTAAGTTTCAATTTAACATTTTCACTGACAACTGGATTCCTAGCTTCTAACTGCCCTGCCATCTCCTCAGACTCAAACCTATCCTGAGACCCTAGTTCTGCCCATGATTTATGGTCAAAATCTTGGTGCCTTTCTCTTCTCCATACAGTCGGTTACTAAGTACAACTAGTTCTTCCCCAGTTTTATTCCTTTCTTTCCAAAGGGGCTTTCCAAGTCTTGTCTCACACTTAAAATATTCCAACAGTTGAGGCGCCTGGGGGGCTTAGTGGGTTAAAGCCTCTGTCTTTGGCTCAGGTCATGATCTCAGGGTCCTGGAATTGAGCCCTGCATCAGGCTCTCTGCTCAGCAGGGAGCCTGCTTCCCTTCATCTCTCTCTCTGCCTGCCTCTCTGCCTACTTGTGATCTGTCAAATAAATAAACAAAATCTTAAAAAAAAAAAAAATTCCAATAGTCTTCTGACAAGCTCCTTGGGATCTGTCCATGTCTTACTCAACTGTGTATCTCCTCCCACACCTACCTCAGGGCCTGGCACTAAGCTATTACCTAATAAATGATACATCAACTCTAAATAATATCTCTGCCTCCAAACCAAACAGCCACCTAACCTCTTTCTAAAATGCTAATTTGTACATGCCACACCACCAGTTTTAACGGCTTTTAACTTTCTATGGGGCAACGTCTAAATTATTTTTGCCTCACTCCAGAGGCGTTTTAAAATTTCATTCTATTTATGTGAATACTCTTCCCGTTTACCTCACGAGGGGAAACTCTTCTGTCATTCTTCTCATGCTTCTCATATTGATTGTGCATCCTGCAGACACAGTGCTGAGCTTGGAGAGTAGAATGGGGGGAGCAACAAGGCCCTTACTCCTTATAAACTAATCTATATATAGTCTATAATCTGATCACATTCTTTTAATACATCCTAAGCTTTTCTACTGGTGATGGCACTCTGTAAGATAAACTGCCTTTCTCAGCCTCTCAGTACTCTGAGACTCTAATACTTAAGTATTAGAGTCAGCACATGCACCAAATGCAGAGATGATAAACTTCCTCTTGAAAGGTGAAACTAACAAAACTGGACACGTAACATATAATATCAGTAAATAACGTCTACCATTCACTGTGTGCTTACCACGTGCCAGGCATTGTGCTGAATGACGTGTTGATTATTTCATTTAGTCTTCACTGCCTTTTTGAAGTTGCAGCTATTGTTGTCTTGTGAAAAGTCAGGCTCAAAGGTAATTGAGGGTAATTTTATTCAGCTAGTAAATGGTGAATAAAAATCCAGATCTATTCCAAAGCCCAGATTTTAATTTAGGCCAAAGTGCTTGACACACTCCGGAAGACGGTTTTTACGTGAGGGGGCACCCAAGTCCAAGGTACCTAAGCTATTTTAGCTAACAAGACTTGAAAGTTCCTTCAAGGTAGGCTTGTTTGCATCCCCAGTGTGACACATTCTGTATCTATTTTTTTGCTGTTTTAAGTACCTCATCATCATTACCCAGAAATGTTTAAAAAAATACTTATTTGGGCAATAAATTGTGCTGAGCGTTATCCTTGGAGATCAAAAAAGATGTTCTAAGATGACACAAAAGGAGGTATTAATGATTTCTGAAACCCTCTGCTGATCAATTAATTTTCTTTTGAACTAGAGACAGGGAACTATACAGTGAAAGGACTGAAACAAACAGGACACCCCAAGTTCAATCACAGCAAAGGCATTCTCAGTTCAGGCTTCCTGCAAGAAAACGCCTGGGTGATGCTGGTCACTAGCCTGATGACCTTGGCCCTTCAAGGTATGTTCCAAAGTCTTCAGCAGCCCAGGAAATGAGGGTGCTACACCTTTGACATCTTGCTTATCCTCCAGGAGGAGACGGGTAGAAAGGAAGCCTAGAGTGGGAGAGTGAAGGGAGGCCCCTGCTGTCCACAGGAAAACATCAAACCAACATGAGGGCAAAATTGGACCAAAGGGACTCAAGACTATACTAATCAGAGGAAGATGGATGAAGCACATTTTCCATGGGATAGATCAGACCTGTTAGGAAAGAAAGCTTGTGGAAGAGGCAAAGAAATAAATACAGCTGCATCTATTCATGGGACAAACAGAAGGCTACAAGTTAAGGCAACAGATGTTTGCCTATTATGCGAAGATGAACAAGGCAAGAGTCAGACTGGGTCTGGAGGTGGGTTTTAAAAATGCAACTCCTTGGCAAAGGGTGATGGGCAGACTGGGTATAAACACTTGCAGGTGAGTCCTCTGAGCGTCACATCAATATAGATCCTGGTTTTCCCTATTGGATAAGAGATTGGAACTCACAATGATTTGCCATTACAATTACCAGCAACTGATGGAGCTCTTTGCCCGTCCTTGGCATTTTTTTTTATTTTTTAAGATTTTATTTATTTATTTATTTGTCAGAGAGAGCAAGCGAGCAAGAGAGCGCACAAGCAGGCAGAGTGGCAGGCAGAGGCGGAGACAGAAGCAGGCTCGCTGCCGAGCAGGGACTCCATCCCAGGACCCTGGGATCATGACCTGAGCCGAAGGCAGCATTTTTTTTTTTTTTTTTTTTTATTTTATTTGAGAGAGAGCACAGCAGAAGAGGAAGAAGCAGACTCCTCACGGAGCTGAGAGCCCCACGTGGGGCTTGATCCCAGATCCCTGAGATCATGACCTAGGACAAAGGCAGACACTTAACTGACTGAGCCACTTAGGCACCCCACCTGTCCTTGGAATTCTTAATTCCATGTATTTTTTTTTAAGCTTTCCTCTTATTAATAACTACCACTGTTTGCATGTCACCAGAACGTAAGCTCTATAAATGCAGGGGCTTTGTCACATTTACCCCAGCAAAAAGACAGTACCAGGCATAGTAAGCTCTTAATAAATTTGTTTAAACAATTTGTGTGATAGGTTAGGTTTTACCTATGGTGATTCTTGCACCATATAACCCTCCCAGGCAAACATTCCCTGATTTCTCATCAGTAAACAGGCACAAAGAGCTTAATATTGCTCTAGTTCACAGGAATTAAGAGAGAGGAACTTCTCACTCCAAAACCATGTGCACTCATAATTATCTACTATCTACTATCTACCTTCACCACCCTCCCCACTCTTAGATTGCCTCCTCCCATTTCTAGAAATAGGATCACCTAACACTCCCATAGTCCAGACTTTTTTTTTTAAAGGTTTCTTTGTAGTATTTTTTTTTTTTAAGATTTTATTTATTTGACAGAGAGAGTACAAGCAGGGGGAACAGCAGGAAGAATGAGAAGGCTCCCGCTGAGCACAGAACCCACTATGGGCCTCAATCCCAGGACCCTGGGACCATGACATGAGCTCAAGGCAGATGCCTAACCAACTGAGTGACACAGGCATCCCATTATTCCAGCCTCTTAATTGGAAACTATTACAAGAAAACAGACCTGTGTTACTTGGCAAGGACCTACCAAATGTAAGCCTATGACAGTTGTCAGGAGGAAATTGATGAATATCCAGCAGTCGAACCCTTTAGACCTAATTCTTTATTGAATCTAAATTCCCTCAGATAGTTAGCTACTCTGTTAGTAAAATAAACTGTATTTCTTCATACAGAAACAACTACTCTGAGAAGGAAATTGATGCAACCCATGACTACTGACTATCTTTGGCTCCCAAGTTATGCTAGAGCCAAAACGCTCTAAAAACTCTCAAAAACTCTTTCCAGTCAGGTGAAGAGAATGAACTTTTGATAGGTGATGCCTTTTATCCCTCTCCCCCCCAACTCAAGGCTTAGCAGAACTATGAAAAGGTTAATGTTCAGTAGAATAGAAGAACACACATTTTGTCAGGCCCAGAGAGATGACGTAGATCAAGTTAGGATGCTTACGTGTTATCAAAAGGATGAAGGGACGCCTGGGTGGCTCAGGAGGTTAAGCACCTGCCTTCAGCTCAGGTCCTGATCTCAGGGTCCTGAGATAGCCACATCAGGCTCTCTGCTCAGTGGGGAGTTTGCTTCTCCCTCTCCCTCTCTCTCAAATAAACGAATAAAATCTTTAAAAAGAGAGAAAAAAAAAAAGAGAGAGAGAGAGAGAGAGAGAAAGAAAAAGGAAGGAAGGGGAAGGAAGTAAGGAAGTTAGTTAGTTAGTTTCCTGCATCTCTGGGCCTCCCTCAGCTCATAAAACCACCTTCAGTCAGTATCCCTGTCCTATCACTGTGCCAGTCTTCACATGGAAAACCAATGGAACTTTTGGGGAGGCAGCTCTTTCTTCTTTGATTGCCCTACCTTCCCGCAAGGAGAAATCGAAGGTTGGCTTCTTCCCCACCTCGACCAGACCAGTCAGATTTGCTAGAGGTCCCATCTGCACTTTAGCAGTAAGAGACAACTGATTATAGGGAAGGGTTATAACCCCTTCCTTCTTTAATTTCCATTTCCTCCCTAGTCACTAGGACCAATCAAACAATGAATTACATAAGCTATCTAAGTTGTGTGGCAGTAACATAACCTTCCTTTTTCTTTCTACAGCTTTGTAAGCCTTGTGCCAGAAACTTAAAAAAAAAAAAAAGTTACAGCAAGATAAACCTGACTCTCTTTAGCTTGCTACCTTTCACATTACAAAATACAGAGAGAAGATACTGCACAGGGGAGGAGATGCTAAATATGCCAAGAATCTGGGGAATGCAAGGTGAGACAAATGAATATATTCCTTGACCTCCCCTCCTCATCACCACAGGAAACCTGCCTTTCTTTCTCCCTGTCACCACTTAAAAAAGAAAAAAAGAAAAAAAAAAGAACAGCTTTCACAAAAGTGGCTGGTGGACAGTTCTCACTAAAATGCTGGATAAGTATGCGATATGTGTGTTTTTGTACCGAAGAAAAAGTCTTCCTCCCCCTTCTCTAACACAGTAAATAAAGAAGGCAGCCAAACAAATTGAGAACACAAGTTTTTTTGGGAAGAAATTTTTATTTAACACTAAAAAGAAAAGAAACGAGCAAAGATATGTAGGACAGGAAAAGAGCCAGAGCCAGTGACTAACTTGGCATGAAAATGAAGAAATGGAGAGACCCCGGCATTCAACAGCATCCCCAGAGCACAAGGAAGTTTCGTGCGCCCAGGTGCACCACAAAGCATAACCGCCCAGCTTCAACCAAGTACTTGTCAGCCTCTTTGGTCATATCTCTTTCCTTTTAAATAAATGCCCAGAGCAGTATTTGCAGCCTTTTCGTCTCTCCTAAATTCACAAATCCTCTTGTCTTTCTCATCAGACAGATGACCTTTTGTCATAGTCAAGTGGGGGTAGGGGGAAGGGGCGGAGGACGACATCGACAGGAGACTCTAAGAACACAGACAATTTCACTGGAGCTAAATAGCAAACCATCAAAAGGAAACAGAAAGCTTACCTGCGATCCTTGGCCAGGACCTGCCAAATGTGGGAGCAAAGTTTTGTGGGAAGAGAGAGAGAAAAGGCGGAAAAAGATGGCTTAGACCCTTATTAGTGATGGTGTCGACTCTCAAACTAAGGACTCCGGATTTTGTGCCTTATGGAGGGTGAAAAAGACTAGGCATGTAGTCAAAACACCTGCATTCAAAATTCTGGCTCTTCAGTGTACCAGCTCTGTGTCCTTGGGCAAATGAAGTTTTGAGATGCTGTTTCTGTGTACTTATCTCTAAATGGGATCTTGTCTACCCTATCTTCTGATTCCATAGGATTGCTCTGAGGATCAAATCTGAGATTCTAAATTTTAAACCCACAGCCACTTGAATTCTGACTCCAAAGTCTCCAAAGTTTTCTCCATTAAATTATGTTCACTTTAATCTTTCTATGTTTTATGTAGGTTTTGTTTCTAACTAAATTTAAGCTGCATGTGAGTGATGTTGTCTTTTGCTTTTTACTATTAAAAGAATCTTCTGAGGGACGCCTGGGTGGCTCAGTTGGTTAAGCAGCTGCCTTCGGCTCAGGTCATGATCCCGGTGTCCTGGGATCAAGTCCCGCATCGGGCTCCTTGCTCAGCGGGGAGCCTGCTTCTCCCTCTGCCTCTGTCCACCTCTCTGCCTACTTGTGCTCTCTCTCTCTCTCTAGCAAATAAATAAAATCTTTAAAAAAAAAAAAAAAAAAAAAAAAAGAATCTTCTGAAATTTCTCAACATTACATAATCACTGGAAGTCTCACAAAGAAGCCACATCCTACTACAGAAAACATTGTATCCATTGTGCTATACTAATTATAGTTCACACACAAAAAACTGCAAAAGGATACATGACCGCTGTCCAAGCTTGTTAAGACCTTCAAGAGCATTAGACTATTAGCTCTGATGTGAACTAAGCAGAATAAACAAAGCAATACCAAGTTAGAAGTCCCATTTCTTGTATTCTGCTTATCTCAAAACTTGGTTAAACATAAATGTGAAATACTTATATCCAAATTATTGATACCATTGATTTCAAATAAGCCTACAAATTTTCCATGCATGAATAGGTAGTTTTCTGAATACACATCTTAACCTCAATCCGTATGAGTGATTCACAACCCATGCATGGAATCTGTACTTCCGTGAGGCCATGGAGCTATTATAAGGAATCTGTATTAGCACTATATTTCATCTGAATAAATAATATATCTTACAAATATTTATATACTATATTTCAACTGGATGTAGATTATGGTGTTACTAATAAAGACAAATTGATTTAAAAGCATTACTGATGGGCACCTGGCTGGCTCAGTTGGAAAAACATATGACTCTTGATCTCGGGGTCCTGAGTTTGAGGCCCACATGGGGTGTAGAGATTCTTGAGGAAAAAAAAAAAAAAAACACTTAATTTAAAAAAGCATCACTGGAAGCAAATCACAGCAGCTTTTTGTTACATATTTTTTTCATCAAAAGATACCCTTTTGATGAAAAAAATATAGCTATCTTCATGTTGTGAAGAGTCTAATAATTACTGGACCTTAAAAAAACAGCACACCTTATTAGAGAAGGTAAAGAAGCACAAGCTTATATCACATGAATCAGAGATATCCCACTGAAAGAGGAAAGGCAACAAACACAGACTCTACTTCCATGGACACCAACTAAGAGCAATTTGTCAAAACTTTACAAAGTTTATATGTATATAATCTTAGAGCTGAATGTCTGTAATTCCACTTACCTAGCAGGGAAGATCAAAACCTTATGTCCTTTGGTTAAGACAAGGGTTCTACCTGGATCCTAGAAAATATCTCTAGTTGTACACATTGTATTCTACGCATTTTACTTTAAACCTTGGAGCAGCCCTGTGGTTCCTGGCCTGAGTGCTAAGGCACCGATATTCCAGTTAGCTATGATTCCCCCGACACAATGGCCACTTGTGATACATTCTCTCAACTTCCTGCCTCAGAACTTACGTGAGACTCATTCTGGAAACTCTTAATAAGAGTCTTCTCTCCAGGGGTGCCTGGGTGGCTTAGCTGGTTAAGCATCTGCCTTAGGCTCAGGTCATAATTCCAGGGTCCTGGGATGGAGCCCCACATCGGCCTTCCTGCTGAGTGGGGAGTCTGCTTCTCCCTCTCCCTCTGTCTCTGACAACAGTTTGTGCTCTCTCTTCCTCTCTCTATCTCAAATAAATAAATAAAATCTTAAAAAAAAAAAAAAAAAGTCTACTCTCTTAACTCCCAAATCCCTGTTGATTTATTCTGATGAAAAGCATTCTCATCTTCCCACCTCCCTACCTCAGAAACCAAAGAGGGCTTTCCTCTCATGCTACTATTTATTCATCCTGCTCCTCCCCCTAAAATCGTCTTCCTTCACAGACCACCGGCTAGCCTAGATCAGCTCTAACAACCAAGTCTGAAGAGCCCCTCCCTTCCAAAACCCCAAAGGCTGTTTGGTTGTTGTTTGAAACAGACACATACCATGGTTCCCTCCTGATTAGTTTTTGTTAAGACTGATATAATTTCCTTAAGGAAAGAGCAAGTGGATATCAGATTGAAAGAAACTGAAGCATGCAGAAGGTCAAGAAAAAAGTCAATTTGGTAACAATAATTTCTTAAAAAAAAAAAAAGGAAAAAAATTAAAAAGCAATAGATAATCGTATTTGTGTTCTACTACTACAGAAACAGAGAATAATGGCTATCCTCAAAGCAATTTTTTCCCCTCAACCCCTAGATGACAAGGCTTTTACCTCCAGTGAATCCCTTGGGCCTCACACCATATAGCAGGATGTCTGGCCGGCAACCAAGCCAACAATGCCCCATAAGAGAGAACTATGGAAATACAAGGGCCTGAAGTATATGTACAGTGAGAGAATTGCACTGAGGCTCCAGCCCTCTGCTGTACCTAACATGACGCTAGTGGCCACCACATCCCTTTCTTCCTCTACTGTGATATGTGCATCTATACATATATTCATTAACGCACACATTCTCTCTCTCTCTCTCTCTCTCTCACACACACACATACAAATGTGGAACACAAAGACGTAAACAAGGAATTTTTTTCTCCTATTAGTTACAAAGTAAGAGTTATCGGGGGAAAAAACAAATTCTTCCCCAGAAAACTTCCTTCGAACTTGAGAAATAATTATTGGACCAGAGAGTGTACTGCTCAAAGTAAACATCTAATAAGCACTTGTTCAACTGCTGCAAATGTTGACAACTAAAATTTATAATAAGCTAAGGAAGCTATTTCATTTATAGCTGTCTCCGCATCTCTTGCCTAGAGATGCTCCTTTTTCTTAAAAATTAAAACACTAAGGAAAAGTCCAGGAGTTACAAACAACAGGGACAAAATGCCATTCTGGATTTTCCATGTTTCCCACTTTTTAGGGAACTGGCAGTAGGAATTTTGAGGGAAAATGAATTTTTAAGGCCAGAGTTATTCTTTCTTCCTGCTCCCAGCTCATTAGCTTAAAGTGTTGGGGCACCTGGGTGGCTCAATGGGTTAAGCCTTTGCCTTCAGCTCAGGTCATGATCTCAGGGTCCTGGGATTGAGCCCCGCATCTGCTCTTCCCACCCAACTTCCCAGTTCTATCCAGCCAGCTAACCTGTAGGAAATTAAACAAATCCCTCTGGAAACTACCCAGAAGCAATCATCACTTGGAGGCCAGCAAGGATTTGCCTTTTCAGTTCCCAACTTGTAAGTTTACCAATCTCTAGGACATCTCTCCTAATTATGTGCTAACAAAATAGTTTTCTTCCCTCTTTATTAAAAAAAAAATGTTTTTTAAAAGATTTTATTTATTCATTTGAGGGACAGAGAGAGCACAAGCAGGGGCAGAGGCAGAGGGAGAAACAGACTCTGCTGAGCCAGGAGCCCAATGTGGGGCTCGATCCCTGGACCTGGAGACTAAATGAGCCAAAGGCAAACACTTAACCATCTGAACCACCCTGGCACCCCTCTATTTTCAAACTATAGTGGACAAAGGGAAGATAAAGAAGAAAAGGCATTCATGAACAAGGAAACAATCTGTTGGGGTGCCTGGGTGGCTCAGTCAGTTAAGCCTCTGACTCTTAACTGGCTCAGGTCATGATCTTGATCTTGGGGTTGTGAAATCAGCCCCACACTGGGCTCCACACTGCATGCTCTTTTTCCCTCTTGCTCTGCCCTCCCCCACTGTGTGAACATGCTCTCTTTCTCTAAAAAAAAAAAAAAAAAAAGGAAACAATCTGTTTAGCTCTGCATGGAATCCACAGGCCATTTAATATGAACATAAAGGCCTCAAGTATAAGGGTTAAAGATCAGAAAATGCAATTGTTTCCTATTCTGACAATCAGGAAGAATTAAATCATCTCTCCTTTGACT